GAGCGGGACTGGGGATCCTGCCTAACCCGAACTTTTAAGAAGGATTACTTGGAGCGGGGGGAGGTTGTGGGTGGAGGGAGGCGGGTAGGGTAGAGTCGGGATGAGGAGGGTGTGGGGGTGGTAGGGGCGGGGCCAAGGACAGACTCGGACGCCCAGTTAATTCTGGGGCTGCCTGTTTTGTCTGCAGGTTCCGACACCGCTGTTCTCCATAGGACGAGCTCTGTGACCCTTGCCTGGGAATGACTAGTGGTCTGTGTTATTTGAGAACCAGTTTCCCTCTGTGTAAAATGGAGCCCTGTCATCTCCGGGATAACTGGATTCCCCAGGGAAGCACGGCTTCCTAGTCTTCCCGGTGGACCATTCGCTTCCCTTGCCAAAGTCAGGGGCGGAGCAGGGGCGCTGATAGACTCTCCCAGTTTTCAAACTGAGATTGTGAGCCCCGGCGGTGACTCCAGGTTGCTGCCCTACAGACGGATGTGTCTATCGGTCAAGTCTGGGTCTTGGTTGGCGTCCTTGGGAATTTTATTGTTTGCTAGGGTGTGTCTTTCTTAGACGGAGGGTTATATAGTACAATGCCTCTTATTAGATGTGTGACCTTGAGTACAACATTTAACCTCTGAGCCTCAGTTTCCTGATCTATCTTATAGAGTGGCTGTGAGGGTCAAATGATAGAATTCATGGGAAATGCTTAGGGTTTAACAAATGTAGTGTGCCAATTAAAAGGCGACAAACCCTCGTCTTACTGAGTCGAGTGGATGAGAAAGCATGTAAGGAATTTCAGATTTTTTTTTTTTAAGGAGGAAGATGGCAATCCAAGAAACTCGAATTCTCTAATCCCCACAGGGTTCTGCTTCCTCCTGCTTGAAGTCTGTGAATGGAGAGGCGGAGATGGAGAAAAGAATAGCCTTATTAACCACAAGGTGGCATGCTAGAAGGCTGCAAACAGGCCTTTGCCTTTCAGTGGCCATCCTGGCCCCTGTCCTGTTTTTCAAGGAAAAGTATGTGGGCCCCAAATAGAGTCCTCAGTGACGCAGTGTTCCAAAGAGCAGCCTGTTGGGGTGTGCTGACCCTGCACATCCTACCTTCTTTACACAAAGCCACGAGGAGTGAAGTTCACCGTTTCTGTGTTGATTACAATGACTTCTCTGGTGGAGGCTATGACCAGTTTTTCTGGCAAGCACCCTTTCTGGCAACCTGACCTCCCATAACTTGGGACTAGGGAGTGCTCAGGAAGGGGAGGGTCTGTGTTTCTAGCTAACTTCAGTGAGCAGGTGATCGACAAAAAGGTGGATTTCAGTGGGCAGCTAATTCTGGAGCGTGCAGGATGGAGCAAGCAGAACCGGGTTATTATGTATACTTTCATCTCCAGGAAACAGTTTTGGTTTTCTTCACATTTGCGTCAGATGGGAGGGATTTGGGGTGGGAAAAAGGGTGTCATAATGAAGTCAGGAAGTGAATATTTGCTGTCCAGATTCCAGATAAGAGGCAAAATTAGAATGAAGTGTAGGGGTTTCTCTCT